TAACCTGTTATAGGAATATGATTCTTGAAGCCAGAGGAAATAATGTCTTCTAAACTGATGACTTTAAATAATGGGCATTTTGTTGTTGTTGTTATTTTGCTTTTTGGGCCACACCTAGAGATGTTCAGGGGTTCCTCCTGGCTCTGCACTCAGGAATCACTCCTGGCGGTGCTCGGGGGACCCTATAGGATGCCAGGAATCAAACCCAGGTTGGCCGCGTGCAAGGCAAATGCCTTTCCCACTGTACTATCACTCCAGCCCCCATTTTCCATTTCTAAGTCCCTTTTGTGAAAACATTTCCTCACCCTTCCATTCTGCTCACAAGGGTCCGTGCATCACACACACACACACACACCTCATCCTCACCCTTCTATTCTGCTCACAAGAGAAGTACATCTCTCTCTCTCTCTCTCTCACACACACACACATCACACACCACTCATCCTCACCTTTCCATTCTGCTCACAAGAGAAGTGCATCTCACACACACACATCACACACACACACACATACACACATCTCATCCTCACCCTTTCATTCTGCTCACAAGAGTCCGTACTTCTCTCTTACACTCACACACACGCAGACACAGACACGCGCGCGCGCACACACACACACACACACACACACACACACACACACACACACACAGTGAGTGCGCCTGGCAGGAGTGGTCCCCGGGATTCTCGGCCCAGCATCCTTAGCCTGCATCCCGGGGGAGCCTTCGTCACAGGATTATTATGGGCTGGGAGAGTGGCCGGGCGCTTCCTGCCCCGGGATCCGCCCTCCGGCTTCCTGCGCTCATTCATTGGGGGAGCGCCGGCCGCTGTCGGGCGAGTGGGTGCGGCTGGCCTTTGGACTCATCGCGGGGGTCCTGCCTGCCCAGAAGGGGCCGAACTGGAGCTCCTAGGACAGAGAGAGAGAGAGAGAGAGAAAGAGGCCGGCCCGCCCGAGCCCACCTCCACCCCGCCGCCGCCGCCGCCGCCTTACCGGAGCGAAGATGCTATTTTTGAGAGCCGGGAGAGCGCGTTGGGTTTCATCACGGAAAATTTGAGCGTCGCAGCGGGCCGGGTGCTGGCTGGCTCACCTCGGGGGCTCTGACGCCGAGCATCGGGCAGCCGGCGGGGGGCCCTGTGGCCCGCACCGCGCAGAGGCGGGAGCGGGCGGGCCGGCGCCCACCGGCAATTATGTAAGTTGTCATCTCCCGGCGGGAGCGGTTCGGTTCGGTTCTCTGGGCCGTGCTGGAGGCTGGCAGCTGGGCTTCACTGCCCGGCTGACCTTCCGGCTCCCAGCCTGCCTGCCCCGCAGGGCAGGAGGAGGGAGTGTTGTGGGCGATGCCCGGTGCGCCCCGGAGCGGCTGGCATGGGCTGGCGGTGCCCGCCGTCTGTTCCTCTGCAGACAGCCGGGGTGGTGGGGTGGGGGAAGGGGGGTCTGTGAATGCGCCGGGCCGAGACTGATTCCTGCCTGCCCCTGGGGAGGGGGGGGATGGAGACTCAGTCCCCCCTCTCTTTCCTTTCATTATCTGGAATACCCAGCAGCGTTACCAGCGGGAGGGGAGAGACACCCCCCCACCCCCCCAGGAGAGACGGGTTGTAGGAGGCTGCAAAACGGGTCAAGATTAAAAGGTTTTTTTTTTTTTTGAAACTGGCCGTGTTTTCAGCACACTAAATGTTGCCGTTGAGGATGCACTTCTTTTCTTTTCCTGCACCTTTTCTTTTCCTGCACCTTTCTTTTCCTGTCTCCAGTCTGTCTTAATCACCCCTGAAGCTTGGCTGTCACCAGAGAAAAATACCACCACACCTAGCTGAGAGCCCCTCCACCCCACGTGTGCCCTCAGGAAATACGCAAACTTTCCTCAATTTGGTTATTATTGTTTTTATTATTATTATTGTTAATTTTTTGCTTTTTGGGTCACACCCGGCGATGCACAGGGGTTCCTCCTGGCTCATGCACTCAGGAATTACTCCTGGCGGTGCTCGGGGGACCATATGGGATGCTGGGAATTGAACCCGGGTCAGTCGTGTGCAAGGCAAATGCCCTCCCCGCTGTGCTATTGCTCCAGCCCCTGTTGTTTTTATTATTAATATTGTTATTTAAATTTTTCGGCCATTTCTGGTGGCACTCAGGGCTTACTCCTGAGTCAGCATTCAGAGGACCACGTGTGGTGCTGGGGATCAAACTCGGGTCAGCCGTGTGCAAGGGCAGCGTCCTACTTGCGATACTATTGCTCCAGCCCCCCCTTTTTTCTTTTTGGGTTACACCCATCGATGCACAGGGGTTACTCCTGGCTCTTCACTCAGGAATCACTCCTGACAGTGCTGGGGGACCTTATGGGATTCCGTGGATCTTTCCCAAGTCTGCTACAAAATTTGGCATTTCTGTTATCATGGAGTGAAAAACGTATTGAGTCATTTCAGGTGTAACCTATTTCAAACACTTTATTGATTAAATTTTTTTTTTTTTGGTGGAGTTCATGCAAAATTCAATCAGCCTAATCAGAGGCTGTATCAAAAGCAGTACGCCTATATAAAAAAAATAAAATAAAATATTTTTTTGTTTTTGGGCCACTGTCCTCAGAGCTGACAGTCCTGGCTCTGTGCTCAGGGATCACAGTCCCAGGTGGGGTTTGAGGGACCGTATGGGATGCTGAGAATTGAACCTGGGTCGGCCACATGCCAGGCAAGTGCCCTTCCAGCTACACTGCGGCTCCCGCCATCCCCTGCTCTCTTGATCCCTACGATAGAAAAATAAGATTGTGTTGCCATCTTTCTCTGTATGTGTATATGTTTTTTTTTTTCTTTTTGGGTCTCACCTGGCTCTGCACTCAGGAATTACCCTGGTGGTGCTCAGGGGACCATATGGGATGCTGGGAATTGAACCCGGGTCGGCTGCGTGCAAGGCAAACACCCTACCTGCTGTGCTATTGCTCCAGCCCCTGTGTATATACTTTTTCAAAATCACACAACTTCTTTTTAAATGCTTGAAACTTTCTTTAAACACCATGTGAGGGACTGGAGCGCTAGCACAGCGGAGAGGGCATTTGCCTTGCATGCAGCCAACCCGGGTTCAATTCCCAGCATCTCATATGGTCCCCCCGAGCACTGCCACGAGTAATTCCTGAGTGCAGAGCCAGGAGGAACCCCTGTGTGTCGCCAGGTATGACCCAAAAAGCAAACAAAACCAAAACCAAAAAGACCCCATGTGATTTACAAAGTTGTTCGTGATACAGTTGTTTTAGGTATTCAATATTCCAACACCTGTCCCACCCCAGTGTGACCTTCCCTCTTCCAATGTCCCCAGTCCTGTCCCCCCATCCCACTCCCCAGCCTGCCCACTGTACTGGCACAAAATCATTTGCTTTATATTGCTCGTTACAATAGAAATCTCACATGGTGTTACTCAAGTCACTGAGGATGTACTGAGCCGGTTGGTGCTAACTGAACCTCCTGTGTTAGTTTCCATTACTGAGCTTAGTGGCCTTCTACAGAACATCCCCATCTAGTTTGCCTGGTTAGCGCTTGGAGGTCAGTGCTTGGAACGAGGTGGCATTCGTGGCCAGGCACTCCAGGGACTGTTTTGCAGCGTGGTGTCTCTTCGAGATTAGCTTGGAGCTGAGAGGCCTTTTATCTGCTGGAGGATGTTGGGCGTGGGTGGACTCTGGGTTCTCTGGCAGGGCGGGGACTCAGCCGGCCACATCCCAGAAGGCTCCAGAGGGCCCAGCCTACACCCCTGGCCTCCCTGGGCAACTTGCTTAGCTGGTGAGATTAGTCATGGCGCTGGAAATGACATCGTTCTTGTGTTATCTGGACTCCCAAAGTGATGCTTTGAGAGCTGGAGAACCTTCTGCACCCCCAGGGGCTCTACCCAGTGCTTCTGTCTTCTGGGTGGTTCCGTGTGTTTGGCTGGTTCCGTATCTCCTCCCGGACAGCTCCGGTCCCCTGCATGGTTCCATGTCTCCATATGGTTCTGTGTCCCCAGGTGGTTCCATGTCTCCTAGATGGCTCTGTGTCCCCCAGATGGTTCCATGTCACCCAGATGGTTCCTTGTTTCCTGGATGGTTCCCTGTCCCCCGGATGGTTCCCTGTCCCCCACATGGTTCCGTGTCCCCAAGATGGTTCCTTGTTTTCTGGATGGTTCCCTGCCCCCTGCATGGTCTGTGTCTCCTGCATGGTTCCATTTCTCCTGGATGGTTCTGTGTTCTGGCCAGCAGTGCTGGGGCAGCATGACCCACACCTGGTGGTGCTGGGGATCATGCAGTTCTGGGGATCTATTTGATTCCCTAGAGACCATGTGCCCTTGACCACTGGGCCATCTCCTTGGTCCCAGCCCTTATATTATTTCTTAAAGATTTGGATGGATGGGATGGGGCGGATTTGAGTGGGTGTCCCAAGTGGCTCAGGGCCCAGGGCCTCCCCTGGTGCAGTGCTCCAGCCAGCCAAACTGGCAGTCAGTGCTCAGGCAAGGCTGAGGGGCTGCTCAGGCACTTTGGTGCAGGGGCCACTCCTAGGGCCACACCTAGGAGCGTCGGGGGCTTGTACAGTCACACCCAGAGAGGGTGGGGGCGGGCTCTGATGCAGGGGATTGATGCTATGGATAGATGCAAGGCATGTGCCGGAACCCTGGTATTTTACTCCCACTTATCTTATTATTTGAAAATGAGCCTTGCTGAAATAATTTGGGCTTGGGGACAAAGCCCTTTTTTATTTGGGTCACAATTGCTTGGAAAGCCTCCACCGTTTGCCCAGCTCACTAAGGACGAAGCCCCACTGGGGCTGTTAGTCCTGGCCAGAAACTAGGCAGCAGAGAGAAAAACCTGAGGCCGCGGGCGTGGGCGGGGCTTCGAGGACCCAGGCGGACCGGGCCTGGAACGTGGGCGTGGTTTAGCGTGGGCGTGACCGAAGTCTGGGGCGTGGCCTCAGTGCTGTGGGCGTGGCCTCGAGGTGGGTGTCTTCCCTACCTGGAGGCGTGGCTTTGACCGTGTGGGCGTGTCTTTTTCACAGGTGCTGCGAATGGCTGAGATGCTGTGGTGGAGGGGACCCCAGGCCCCGCACCGTCTGGTTGGGGCATCCCGAGAAGAGGGATCAGAGGTACCCTCGAAATGTCATCAACAATCAGAAGTACAATTTCTTCACCTTCCTGCCCGGGGTAGGTATGAGTGGGTTGGATTTCCGGGAGCTCATGCAAGACTCCTTTCTGGCCTCTTGAAACGTTTTTGCTGATGATGAACGTTCTGCTATACTTAGTGGGGGCTTTTGTCACACCTGGCTCTGAACTCAGGAATCATTCCTGGCGGTGCTTGGGAGATCCTATGGGTTGCTGGGAATTGAACCTGGGTCGGCCTCTTGCAAGGCAAATGCCTTCCCTGCTGTGTCCCTTTTACTTCATGATTTACTCTCATGACCTCCCCACACTGGCTTGGACATATCCAAGGGTGTGACCTACACACCTTCCCCAGCACACACATCAACTCGAAACCTTTTCATGGCCTAGCATGGCACTGGAATTGGTTTTAGAAGTAGCGGCCCTCAAAAAGGGGGAAAAAAAAACTTAACGGGACTGGTGTGATAGCACAGCGGGTAGGGCATTTGCCTTGCACGCAGCTGATCTGGGTTTGATTTCCAGCATCCCATAGGATCCCCTGAGCACCACCAGGAGTAATTCCTGAGTGCATGAGCTAGGAGTAAGCCCTGTGCATCGCTGGGTGTGACCCAAAAAGGAAAAAAAAAATAGTGGCCTTTAGTTCAACTATTGTAAGGAATTTGTGACTGTTTTGAGAGGTAAATAGAAATCCAGATATATTATAAGAAATCAGTTTAAGGGTTTTTATTATTTTTTATTTCCGGAGGGTGGTCACTCCCTACAGTGCCTAAGAGCAGAGCTCAGGAACCACCATCACCACGCCTGGCAGTTTTGGGGGTCATGTGCTGGAATGGAACCCGGAAGTGTGTGCTCTACCAGTGAGGCATATCCCTGCTCTCGAAATTCTTTCATTGTTTTATGTTTTTGGCCACACCCAGCATTGTTCAAATGCTCCAGGCCCTGTGCTTGGGGCCCCGCTCTTGGCAATACTTGGAGGGCCTTGTGGTGCTGGGGTTCAACCCCTCCTCTCCTCTGAGCCTTCCCCTGCAGAAGCATTTCATGGGGGGTAGAGTGGCGGTGAGGGGTGCTTAGAGCTGACTCCGGGCTCTGTGCTCAGGGGTCACTGAAGGTGGGGCTTGGGGGACCATATGTCTGACAGGGATCGAACCCGCTCCAGCCCTGTGGAGATCCATTGAACGACAAAACATTTTGAGGGACCTTCCTTTTAGTTTGTGTATTTGTTTTTTTCTCTCTGTTTTTTTTTTTTTTTGGTTGGTTTGTTTTGGAACACACCTGGTGATGCTCAGGGGTTCCTCCTGGCTCTGCACTCAGGAATTACTCCTGGCAGTGCTTGAGGGACCCTATGGGATGCCAGGGATCGAACCCGGGTCAGCTGTGTGCAAGGCAAATGGCCTTCCTGCTGTGCTGTTGCTCTGGTTCCTGGCCTCCTTTTCCTTAGAGAATAGAGCTGAAGCGAGTGCCCCCCCTTCCCCCACACACACCTCAGGAGATGCCCCCATCTAGAATCTGGCCAGTACAATGAGTCTGTACAGATGTACAGGTGACTCAGTCTTAGGGGTTTTTCTGACCCGTGTTGTACTTTCAGCGCGTGGAACCGGAAGCTGGTGCCAGGGCTGGCCTGGCACGCGCATGCTTGGTCCTCACGGTCTTGTTGGTTCTGTGCAGGGGAGAATGGTCTGGGGTTCACAGCTCCCGCCAGCTTGACCTCCTTCTCCGACCGCTCGTGACGCTCCCCTTTCTCATCTCTGCCTTCCAGGTGCTGTTCAACCAGTTCAAGTACTTCTTCAACCTCTACTTCTTGCTGCTCGCCTGCTCCCAGTTCGTTCCCGAGATGAGACTCGGGGCGCTCTATACCTACTGGGTGCCCCTGGTGAGTAGACGTGCCTCGTTTGTTCCGCTAAACTCAGGAGGCTGGGTCTCTCTCTGTGCAGGCTCTGACCCTGGCATTTGAGCCCAGCAGATAACACCCTCCGGCCCCACCCTGGGGAACCCCAGGTTTCCTTCAGCACTGACGCCCTGGTCAGGCAGCAACTGGGCTGCTCAAGGCTTTGTAGATTCTGTGAAAAGTCATCACAGGCAGTGCTCTTGATCGTTGGGTCTAGACTGGGTCTTGCCTAGTTGGGTGTTTGCCGGACCAGCCGACAGTCAAACGGGTCAAGAGGGAAAGTGAGGATCAAAGAAACTTTCAAGGGGTTGAGAGGGCTGAGTTCTCTTGGGACAGCAGTATTGATCTTTATTTCAGACAGCCTCTTATACAACTCTATCAGGAACTTGGCAGGTAAAATCATCCATTGTAATTGCAAAAAACATAGCCCCAAGATCATACATTTCTTTGATCAGAACAAGCATAGGAAACATAGTATAATGAAAACAGTGTTACTTAGATCAGCAACTGGAAATAAAGACAAAATGGAAATAATAACAAAATACACTAAAAAACACTGTGATCATTCCTGTACTCTCTATTGATTTATAAAGGATGTGATGTCCTACATACACCACGCAATCACAATGCATCCATTTCTCATTAACTTCTCTTGCAAACTGAGGATGGTGAAGTATTACCTTCTCTATAGGCTTGGGTTGGCAACATAATGACCACTCCACGTACTAGGGGTGGCAGGACAGAGAGCTATGCCAAGTAAACTTGGCCCCTTTGAGTAAACAGCTCCCAGGGTTATGTCCACTTAAGGACTCTGCTCCCTGCAGGTGTTGCCTGGTTGGGTCTTGCAGGTTGGGTCTAGACTAGGTTTTGCCTGGTTGGATGTTGCCTGGTTGAGTGTTTTGGGTTTAGACTGGGTCTTACCTGGTTGGATGTTGCCTGGTTGGGTGTTTTGGGTCTAGACTGAGTGTTGCCTAGTTGGGTGTTGGCTGGTTGGATCTTGTGTGTTGGATGTAGACTGAGTGTTGCCTGGTTGGGTGTTTTGGGTCTAGACGGGTCTTGCCTGGTTGGGTGTTTTGGGTCTAGACGGGTCTTGCCTGGTTGGGCGTTTTGGGTCTAGACTGGGTCTTACCTGGTTGGGCGTTTTGGGTCTAGACTGGGTCTTGCCTGGTTGGGCGTTTTGGGTCTAGATGGGTCTTGTCTGGTTGGGTGTTTTGGTTCTAGACTGGGTCTTACCTGGTTGGGTGTTTTGGGTCTTGACTGGGTCTTGCCTGGTTGGGTGTTTTGGGTCTAGACTGGGTCTTACCTGGTTGGGTGTTTTGGGTCTAGACTGAGTGTTGCCTAGTTGGGTGTTTTCTGGTTGGATCTTGTGTGTTGGATGTAGACTGGGTCTTGCCTGGTTGGGTGTTTTGGGTCTAGACTTGGTCTTGCGTGGTTGGGTGTTTTGGGACTAAACTGGGTCTTGCCTGGTTGGGTTATGCCTGTTTGTGTGTTTTAGGTCTAGACTGGGTCTCGCCTGATTGGATATTGCCTGGTTGGGTGCATTGGGTCTACACTGGTCTTGGTTGGTTCTTTTTTTTTTTTTTTTTTTGCTTTTTGGGTCACACCCAGCGATGCTCTGGGGTTATTCCTGGATCTGCACTCAGGAATTACTCCTGGCGGTGCGTGGGGACCATATGGGATGCTGGGAATCGAACCTGGGTCGGCTGGTGCAAGGCAAACGCCCTACCTGTTGTGTTATTGCTCCAGCCCCGTCTGGTTGGTTCTTGTATGATAGGCAGTGTCTGGGTCTAGCCGAGGACAGAGATGCTCCATGTGGCCTGTCATCCTTTGCTGGTGGTGCTCTCCATGAAGAACCTCATGACATGGATTCGATTTGTGCTTCGTGCAGTGGCTTTCAGCCTCTCCACACCCAGACCAGCCCTGCACTGAGAACTGGTCAAAACTTCAGAGCTCTGCCAGAGAGATAGTTCAGGGCTAAGGCGCTTGCTCGCACGCGACTGTGTTGGCCCACCTTGGTTTGATCCCTGGCACTACATCTGGTCCCCTGAGCACTGCCCGGTGACTCCTGAATACTGTGAGTTTGATCCAATTCCTCCCCTGTTCCCCCTCCCCCAGTAAAAACACTCCACCTTGTTTGGGCCAGAGATATTACAGATATTAAAGCACTTGCCTTGCCTAGGTTGACCCCCCCATTCAACCCCCAGCACCACAAGGCAAGTGATCCCTGAGCACAGAGCCCAGGAGCAAGTTCTGAACACAACTTGGGTGTGGTCCCGAAAAAAAACAAAAATCAAAATACAGGGACTGGAGAGAGAGCACAGACCTTGTCACAGTCCTGCTTCTGCAGAAACCCTCCAGTTACCTGAGGCGAGGCTACCGGGCTGGAGTGGGTGGGGTGTGTGTATGTGTGTGTGTTGGAGCGTGTGTGTGTGTGTGTGTGTGTGTTTGTCTGTGGTGATCAGGTGTGTGTGTGTGTGTGTGGCTGGGGTGATCTGGAGGTTCCTGTTTGTGTGGGGGGAGCCTGGGGTGATCTGGGGGTTGCTGTGGGTGGAGCAGCGGGGAGGAACCTTGGTGGTGGCTGCCTGCCCGGGCGTCCTCAGGGCCCGGTGTGCAGTGCCAGGGAGTGTTTGGGGCTGAGGATTCTTCCCCAAAGAACAATTTTTATTTCTTGTTTCTTTATTAATTTGGTTCTTCCCTGGGATGATTCGGGTTTGGGGCCATGGGTTTTTCTGGGACAAAATGGATTTTTTATTTTTGCTTTTTGGGTCAGACCCGGCGATGCACAGGGGTTTCTCCTGGCTCTGCACTCAGGAATTACTCCTGGCAGTTCTCGGGGGACCCTATGGGATGCTGGGAATCGAACCCTGGTCGGCCGCGTGCAAGGCAAACGCCCTCCCTGCTGTGCTATCGCGCCAGCCCCAGATGGTCTTTCTTTTTCTTTCTTTCTTTCTTTCTTTCTTTCTTTCTTTCTTTCTTTCTTTCTCTCTCTCTCTCTCTCTCTCTCTCTCTCTCTCTCTCTCTCTCTCTCTCTCTCCCCTTCCCCCTCTCCTCTCCCTCCCTTCGTTCCTTCCCTCCCTCTCCCTCCTGTGCAGAGGGGTCTGGCCAGTTAGTAAGAACATTGGGAAATAGTCGCAGATACAGAATCTTTTTTGTTGTTCATGGAAGAGTGTCGCGGGGGTGGGGTGTTCTGAGAGGGGACTGTCCCCTCTGCGCCCTGCCGGCCAGAGAGAGGGGACAGGGTCAGCCTCACTCCCTGTGCCCTTGGTCAGCTGATACCTCCTCTCTCCTGCTGCTGCTGCTGCCAGGGGCTGGGTCTGTGCCAGGAGGGCAGGTTGGCATCCTGGTGACTTTGGTGGGGGGGTCACACTGGGTGTCACATGCCCTTGGAGAACAGTGCTGGTCATGTGGGCAATGCTGAGTGTTGAACCCAGGGCCTCCCGCTGGCTGAGCAGGTGCTGTCCCACTGGGCCACTTTCTCCTTCCTCCCGCCCGGGCCGTCCCTCTTGTTGTTGGGGTCTCCTGTGGGGTTCCCAGATTGCAGGGAGGGTGGCCCATGGGGGTCCCATGCCTCAGTATTCCCGCCTGGTCCCCCGCTTTCTCCCTCTGTGCCCACTTCCCCTCCGTTAGCGACTCCCTGATGGGGCTGGGGGAGCCCCCAGTTAGTGCCCAGCGGGGGTCACTCACTGTCCCTCCTGTGGCCGTGGCCTGGACACAGGGCTCTGCTCTGAGCCACAGGTGCCCGAGGGACATCCTGGCTGTGTGTGTCCAAGGGGGACGGCAGGCACGGCTGGCCCCACTCTGCCGGGTCAGGGGGCACTTTAGGGGGGCTTCCCACGGGGTGCCCCGGGGCCCACGGGGACCCTCGAGGTGATGTAAGTCAGCCTAGGGCCTTGCGTTGGGGGGTGGGGTGGGCCCATGCCTGGGGGGCGCCTGCTGCGTCCCTGCGCTTGCTCCCCTTGGGCGTCTGTGCTCCTGGTCACCCTCCGTCCCCTCTCGCCTCTCTGCAGGGGTTCGTGCTGACCGTCACCGTCATCCGCGAGGCCGTGGAGGAGATTCGCTGCTACGTGCGTGACAAGGAGGTCAACTCTCACGTCTACAGCCGGCTCACGTCGCGAGGTCAGGCCAGTTCAGGCCAGTCAGGCTGAGGGGGGGTCTGGGGCCTCGAGGCCCCCGCAGGAGCCCGGCCTGGTTGGGCCGGAGGCTGCGGCTGGTGTGTGTGTGTGTGTGTGTGTGTGTTTGTGTGTGTGTGTGTGTCTCAGCTATCCATGTGGGGGCTGCAAGGTGCTACCCAGGGTCCCAGACACGTGTGTGTGTGTGAGCGCGCGCTTGTGTGTGTGTGTGTGTGTGTGTGTGTGTGTGTGTGTGTGTGTGTCTGGCCCTGGGCTGGTTGTCACCTCCTGCTCCTGGTCTGTGTGTGTGTATGTGCGTGCATGTGCCTCAGCTATCCACGGAGAGGCTGCAAGCTGCTGCCCAGGGTCCCAGACGTGTGTGTGTGTGTGTGCGTTTGTGTGTGTATGCACTCGCACATATGTGCACCTCAATTATCCACGTGGAGGCTGCAAGGTGTGGCCCCCAGGGTCTCGGCCTGTGGTTTGTTTTGGGTTTGGGGGTTTCCCCGGGGTTGCTGGAAGCACTGTGTGCGGAGTGAGGGAGGAACCAGGCTTAGGTGCTTGCAGCAAACACCTTTACCCTGCGCTGTCTCTGGCCTGGGTGGGCTCTGGCCATCTCGGGACTGCTGCCGGGCTTGTGGCGGCTGCCTGTGGAGCCCTCTCTTCCCACGGGGCCCCGGGGTGGCTCCTGGGGACAGCCGCCTCCGAGGCACTAGTCTGCCCGGCGAGGATGGGGCAGGGACTTGGACCTCTGAGTGCTGGGCTCCTGCTGAGACATGGGCTTTCTGGGGGTTTGTTTTGTTTTCGTTTTGCTTTTGAAGTAACACAGGCTTTTATTTGGAGGTTTTTAGGAGGGGGACAGAGAGGGATGCGGCTTCTTGGAAGGCACAGGGGTGGGGGTCAGCACACATCACGAGGGGAGCTGCGGGCGACATGTGTGCGCGGCCACGGGAGCACAAGCGGCCCGGGGGGGAATGTGGGCGTTATAGATGGTGGCCTTTATTTAATTAATTTATTAATTAATTAATTTGCTTTTTGGGTCACACCCGGCGATACACAGGGGTTCCTCCTGGCTCATGCACTCAGGAATTACTCCTGACAGTGCTTGGGGGATCCTATGGGATGCTGGGAATCGAACCTGGGTCGGCCACGTGCAAGGGAAATGCCCTCCCCGTTGTGCTATCGCTCCAGCCCTGATGGTCTTTAGAACCACTGCCCCAGCCCAGTCTTGAAGCCACCAGGCATCCCGGGCCCCCGATGGGGGCAGCATTGCCAACTTGATTTCCAGTGGGCTCTCTCGCTTGGCTCTTGCCAGGCGCCTGTTTTCATGGTTTTGGAGTTGGGGGGGGGGGAGCATGAGCCCCCAGACCCCAGGGCTGACCCATCCAGTCTAGCGCTTCCAGGCTTATTGCTTGCCTGGTTTCCCGGGCACTGGGTGGTGCTGGGCACTGAGCCTGCTGCTCCTTAGAGGTGACTCCAGGGAGCGGAGAAGGCCGGACACTGCCTCTGGGGACAGAGCAGGGTAAGCTCAGGCCAGGGCCGGGACTCAGGGGCCAAGTTCGGAGCCCCAGGTTGGTGACACATGGGGGTGCCAGGCTGAGGCGGGATAGCACTGGGCCTTGGGCTCCTTCCCCATACCGTGTAGTTCGTCTACCTGCATCTTCCCGGGACGTTTTCCCTCCTCACCGCGGTTCCAAGTTGGAGGGGGCGGGAGGGATGTGGCAATGACATGGAACGTTTCGGAGAGACTGAGGCACGTCAGAGCTGAGTCTGGCGGGCAGAACCCTGTGAGGGTGCTCAAATGGAGAAGCTGGGTGCTTGGGGTGTAGGCCGGGGGCTCTCTGGATTTCCAGCCTGGGGAGCCCCTGGAAAGTGCATTTGCCTCCCTCAGGGGGTTCAGGTTTGGCCTAGAATTTTCTTTTTGTGTTTTTCTTTTTGGCTGATGAACATTTTATTTTATTAATTAATTATTAGTGTTTTAAATTGAACCACTGTGAGATAGCCCCTTACGAAGCTGTTCATGATTAGGTTTCAGTCATGCGGTGTTCCAACATCCATCCCTCCACCAGTGTACGTTACCCAGTACCAGGGTCCCTAGGTTCCCTCCCGTCATTCCCCCCACCCCCCTGCCCCTCCTCAACTGCCCATTTCTCTGTCTGTCTCTGTCTGTTTGTCTCTCTCTCTCTCTCCCTTTGGCATTGTGGTTTGCAATATTGATGCTGAAAGGTTATCAAGAAAATCCTTTTACCTACTTTTAACACTCGGATCTTGTCCAGCGTGATCATTCCCGGCTATTATTGTCACACTGGTCCCTTCTCTCTCTTACCTAGCCTCTTCCCCACACACACCTTGTGGTTGGTTCCAACCTTGACCAGGCCTCCTGGTCCTCCCTGTTTTCCCTGGCCTAGAATTTTCTTTCTAGAAAAACCAGTCTGTGTCTTAGAACAGAACAATGAAAATTTTAATCAACTCCCTGAGGACACAAGGATCTTTTGTTTGGGCGCCTTTGAATAGGTCTTCATAGTAGGTGGTCTTAAAAATTTGCAAGTCTCTGTGACGAGCAGGAGATTTCAAGTTGGCAGAGAAATGCTTTATTCTTGCTAAACTACTGCATTGTGGGGCATTTTGCCATTTAAATGAAAAACAACAATAACAAAAAAAAACCCCACTATAATCTTTGTGAAGGCAGGTGGCCTGGCTTTCCATGTGGGCAATCAGAAGACCCCGGCTGGTTGTGTGTGTGTGTGTGTGTGTGGCGCTTGTGTATATTAAAATCTCCCCCTAATAACATATTCTTACTATAACATTTAAAACGCTTGGCAACAGACAAAAGCCCCTTGCGAGGGCGGGAGGGAGATTGTCTTGAGGGCGGGCCGGGGCTTCTACTCATTGCCCTGCCCAGGGGCTGACCTCGCCGTGGCTCTTTTCATAGTGCAGTTTCTCCGCCTGTGGGTGATTTTTCTCCCCTCCCCTGCTGATCCCCTTCTCTGTTCTCCGGAGCGACCCTAGGAGAATTGGCAGATGGCTCTAGCTTTAAAGACTTGTCTTCTTTTGTCGTTCTCCGTTTGTGGCCGGTGGGTCTCATTGTCATGCCAATGCAGCCCCTGGGGGAGAGAGAATAGACTCCTGGAATATTAACCCGGGCCTGAGTTTTGCAATTTGTTTGGAAAGCGGGGACCCCCCCCCCCCCACTTCACCCCGCCCCCTCCCCCAAACACCGGAGAATCTTTCTGCTTGAAGGGTGGTGGAGGGGACCAGAGGCAGAAGCTGAAACTGGAAGATTGGGGGGAAGGCCCTCTCCCTTTTTGGAATCTCACTTATTGGAATTTTTGTTTTTGTTGGGGGATGGGGAGGGGGGAGTTGGTCACACCCAGCAGCCGGGCTCTGCTCTCTGGGATCAAACCTGGGCTGGGTGAGTTTAGAGCAAGCGCCTTAAGCCCTGTCCTGATTCATTACTGATGGCATCGTGGCTTACGGGAAGTAGCATTTGGCACCAAGATCATCTTCATGTAGTAAGAGCCAAAGCAAAATGAAACTGATGTATGGAAACGGATATGAAGGACTGTTAGTTTTTTTTTTATCACATCAAATCTTTGCTTATTTATTTATTTATTCATTTTTGCTTTTTGGGTCACACCCAGCAGTGCTCAGGGGTTCCTCCTGTCTCTGCACTCAGAAATTACTCCGGGGGGCTGGAGAGATAGCACAGCAGGTCGGGCGTTTGCCTTGCACGCGGCCAACCCGGGTTCGATTCCCAGCATCCTGAGCACCACCAGGAGTAACTCCTGAGTGCAGACCCAGGAGTAATCCCTGTGCATTGCCAGGTGTGGCCCGGAAAAGCAAAAAAAAAAAAAAAAAAAAAAAGAAAGAAAGAAATTACTCCGGGCGGTGCTCAAGGGGACCCTATGGAATGCTGGGAATCAATCCGGGTTGGCCCTGTGCAAAGCAAACGCCCTACCTGCCTATCGCTCTGGCCCAAAATCTTTGCTTTTTGTTTCCGGTTGGGGGCTCACTCCTGGCTCTATGCTCAGGGATCAGTCCTGGAGGTGCTTTGGAGAATGCGGGGGATTGAACCCGGGTCCGCTGCGTGTAAGGCAGGCAGGCGCCCTAGCCACTGTACCAGGCCCTCAGCACTCCGAATGGTCCCGGAATGTCAAGGTGACATGACAAAGGTGTTTACCCACATTCTGTTTCATTTCCTCCCTTGTCTTAATAAACAAGAGTTACAGAATTCCCTGGGTGAACTTTCACCAGGATTGGGGTAATTGCTGGCACCCCACTGTGTTGATTCTTTCATATTCTCTCAGACACCAGGAGTTGCCCAGGACGATCTGGTGCCCAGTAGATACTTTCGGTTTAATTCCTCCTGGAACCTTCCTCTCCCCTATCGCCTCCAGGTCTCAAGGCCAGGAAGCCTTATATCTGGTTGTTCCTGTTCGCTGCCCCTGCCACCGGGACGCTGGGCTGAAACTTGTCCTGGCCAAGGTCCTTTGCTGCCCGGGGCTGGGAACATGTGGGTCCGTGTCCAGCACTCGCTCGCTCTCTGCGTCCCTGGCCAGCTGCCCCATCCTGGCTGTTGTCCTTCTCCACGTCATCGGCGTTTCTGGCCTTGTTCTCCACGTCACCGGCGTTTCTAAAGAGGATGCCCTTTTGGTCGCTTCTGCCGCGATTTGTGTTGGTCACACGTCACTGGATGGAGGGGCCAGCGGCCTTGGCAGCAGGAAGTCAGAGGGAGCCGCGCGTGGCTTCCTGTGGGGACGTCCCCAACTTTCTGCATGGTTTGCATTCAGGCCGGAACGCATGGCAGAGCTGCCGAAGTAGCAGACTTGATTCTGTTTGTTGTTGTTGGTCTTTTTGTTTGTTTTTCCTTCGTTTTGAGGCCACTCCTGGGTCTGCACTCAGGACTTAATTAATCCTGGTAGGGTTCTGGGGTCCATGTAGGATGCCGGGGATTGAACCTGGGTCTGCCATGTGCAAGGCAAGTGCCCTACCTGCTGTACTAGCTCT